TTTTTTGGTTGAAGCCAGCATTGTTGTTTGGCGGGCCCAGGCTGGATTCGAACCTGCCACCTTAGGTGTATGTGGCTAGTGCCTTAACCACTTGAGCCACAGGCGCTGAGCCTAAGAGTAAATTCTTAAGAAAGAATTTCTCTTTCTTAAAAGAGAAATAATCCAGTTCCTGAGTTGCTCACGTAGCCATATACATGTAAAGGATCAGGGTTTTTTTAATTTATTTTTTATTAGATCATAACTGTGTACTATACTGCATTTATGGGTACAATGTGCTGACTCTATATACAATCTACAATGTTCAAACCAAATGGTCAATATATCATTCACCTCGTTTATTCAATTGTTGTGTTTAGACATTGATACTCTACTGATTAATATATTTGACAGGTACACTTGCAATATACACAATCCCACTTGATTACCCTCCCTCCACCTGTCTTCCCCCCCATGCCCTCCTCCTTTATAAAGGATCAGTTTTTAATCGATACATAATAATGTACATATTGATGGAGTACATGTGACCAGAGAGAAACTCAGGCACAGAAGGCAGGTGTAACATGCTTTATTCAGCTCACGGGCGGCAGGAGGAGTGAGCATGGCAAGTCTGCCCTAGCTCCTGGTGAATGGGGAGCTGAGTTATATGTCGCAATCTGTGATCCACAATCCACACAGGGGCAAGCCCTGTGCTCCCTTATACCCAGGGGAACAGAAGTGACCACACACCAAGCAACAGTTACCTAAGCACGACTTCACCCCACACAGCTGTGGCTATGTAGAGATACATGGCATTTTCCCGTGGGAAGAAAGACTAGACAGCTCCATCTTGTTGCACATCCAAGGCCATGGGCGAGAAAGCTCCAACACTTTCTTTCCTTACCTCCCATGGCCTAAAGGTCTTGAACTTATTTTGGGTTTAGAATCATGATTATTTCAACCAACACAGTTAAAACTGGGAGCATTTAGAACAGGTTAGTGGAGGTAATACTTACTGCTCTGTTAAAACCAGATATTCCAACTTTAGTGAAAATAATGTTTGGATCCAAAAATATTTTTATGTCTCTTCTCTTTGACAAAAGGTTTTCACAGCATGGCTGGGTCTTCCCTTTGGTTTAGTTTGGGAATCTGCAGTTTCCTTGCTATCTGGGCCTCTGGAGGCACAGGCCCCCCAGCAAAGGAGCAGTAGAAGGCCTTTTGCCCACATGGGAAGAGGGGTGGGTTCATAGACACTGATCATGCAGCCTGGTTGGGAAGATCTCATTTTTTCCTAAGCTCTCTTGCCATGGTAGGGGTGAAATGAGCTCCAGTCCCTAGAGGCTTTAATTCTGCATCTAAACATTGGATCTAGGATTGAGGGCAGGTCTCACAGAGAAGGATGATTAAGCATTCACTTTGCACACCACAGTTGCTTCCATAAAATACAAGAGGGCTAACCTCATGCTCTGGGCTCTCCTTAGTTGATAGAGCACAGAATCAGGGATAAGACACTGATTCGTTTTGTGAATCACTTAGTCCTTCTGGGACTCAGTTTTCTGTCTTGTAAAATGAAGGGGTTAAATTATATGATTTCTATGCTTCCTGCACACACCACCATTCATGATGGTTCACAAGCTCGCCTCTCCATGAGGTTAGCTGAGTTCTCCATAGAAAGAAGCATGTGTGGATAGATTCAGTATTCTGTGGATTCCGTTTTTGGCCATTGTTGCCATAAAGGGTCCAGCCCCAATTTAAGGCCATTTCTTTCCATTTCATTCACTTCCCACCCACCTCAATTCTATTCTAGTCTACGGTTTCTGTAACTATAATCCAACCATCTACCAAGCATCTGTAAGTGACCTGGCAGACCCAGGAATGTGCTAGCTTTTGAGAGTTCAAGTCCAAGTGCTATAGCCTCTCACATTTCCATTATTTCAATGATTGTATGGCTCCTTTCAGAAATGCTCCCAGCATTGTGCTGGTAATTACCACTTTATTTCAGCAAATAGTTTTCAAATCAGAGCTCATTTGCTTTATTTTGCATTTCAGATAAAAACATCAGTTATTTGGGCAACGCCAAATGTGTCCTTCTCAATCCCATTATGGGTAATAATACTAGCAATACTTCTCGGATTGCTGGTGCTGGCCCTTTTGACCTTAGCATTATGGAAGGTAAGTTGATTTACTTTATTTTCTTTTTGGACTAGAGGGCCCACGGAAGAGGTTTAGAAAAAAATTGCCAGGGAGTTTAAAAGACAATGCTGGAGGTCTAGTTGGAGATTTTGAAGTCTGAGGGCATGATGGGAGAATTGTTTGCTTTGGTGTGGTTGCTGTGCTGGTGCAGCTGACACATAAGATAATGGGGGGTGGGGGGTATGTTGCTTTCATCCTGAGATTTCTTGTAAATAACTATAGAGAGGATTAGGCTTTATTAACTGAGACCTCTGATCATCTTTCCAATATGCTCTGAGTGATAATGTTATTAATGAGATCTTCTTTTTCTTGTTTAATTAACCAAGAGCTTAAGCTTTTTTATTGACATGGTACCATCAATCCTCTGGGGCCTTTATTTATAAACACTGCACAGATGTAATTAATAGAAGCCCATTCTGATTTTTTATTTCAACCATCACTTGGGCCAAGTAGATCATGCATGTTATGTGACGCTTGGACTCATTTTTTAATCTTGCCAATTAGTCTGTCTCCATTAAGAAGGCTGAACTTACTCTTTGATGTGTTTTACTGAGCTTTGGTCTACAAGTCTACAGTAGGAATTAAATTCTGGCCCAATGTCCTACACAACTCTTACGTTTCACAAATCCTTCCATTCCAAAATAGAAATGTCATGATGACATGAGGAAGTAACCCAGTCAAATATTACTTAACCACTATTACTGTGGTTCATGAAAAAGTGTGTTTTTATTTTTAAATATGCACAGTGCCTACTAGACCTATAAGCTGAGAAAGCACTGATTTTGAATTGTAGAGAGCCCCTCTGGTCATTCTCAGTTGTTTTATGCCATCCTGAGCCCACATAGACTCCAGCACACCTTTTGAATGGGCATCTGGACTATCTCTTATTTGTTGTAGTTGTATTTCCAGAGAATAGAAGATTCAATCAGATGTGCCAATGGACAGACTATTCCACTAACCTTGGGAAAGAAAGACAACTTGATAGCTGTTAAGTCAAACCCAGGGAGTTGGGTTTCCACCATGAGAAACAATAAAAATTGAGGTTCCGAGTGTCTAGGGAAAGTGATACTCTATTTGGCAAAGTGCTAACTTGAAATTCAGGAGAAGGAAGATTCTAGAATTACCTCTTCCCTAGGTTGCTGGGTTGTGGCAAGTCACTAAGATGTCGGTGCCTACCTGGTTCTGGCACTGGAATAAATGACAGATGGCTTCTTCCCATCTCTACTGCTTATCTGTATCTGTACATTGTATGTTCCCTCAAGAGCAGGAGGACGTGCAGCCTCACCTCAGCCTGCAGTGCCTCCCACGTGGCCTAAAATGTACTTTCTGAGAAATGTCCCTTTCCTGGCCGGCAGTTAGCACTGCTGCTGCTTCCGGCAAACATGCAGAAAAGCAGAGAGGGAATCCTTGAGACACGTTGCTGTAATCCCAGGAAAATACCCAACGTCTGTCAATGAGACACTGTTCACTGCCATGACATGGCAGGGGGGTCGGGCCTGAACATTCTGCCGCTCTGCCCACTCTGCCCTGTGCAATGAAATCCTTTCTCCCGCTAACAAACACTCCAATTTTACCTCCAAATGTAGAAAACTGGGCTAACTACATTCACAGAACTCCAGTCTCCTGAGAAAATATATAAAGTGAAAATTCTTTCAATGAGAGGGTTCACAATTTTCCCAGAATCACGGGATCTGATAGCCCATTTTCTTTTTTTGTAGTGTGGATTCTTTGACAGAGCAAGACCTCCCCAGGATGAGATGACGGACAGGGAACAGCTGACGAGTAGCAAGACCCCCGAGGCATGACGAGGAAACCGCAAAGACCAAAAAACTACTTGCACACTGGTCCTGTTCAGAGAAAGGAAAGAGCAGAAGGGTTGCATCAAGGCCCTCCTGTGCCTGCCCATGACCTAGGAAATGGAGGGGCCACGGGGCACATCACTTCATCTAGCCTGTGCTTTGGAGAAGTTGTTACAGGAACCCACTGAGCCTTTTAGGAAAAGGGTTTCACCAGCACTGCAGAAACAATCAGAAACTGGGGACGATTTCTTTGGCTTTAGTCATTCTGTGTCTGGCAGGCACTTTGAGATGGGTGTGGGGACATGGGTTGCTGTCCGGGCAAATCCACCTTAAGCTGCAGAGATGACATGTCTGTGTTATTACAGAATTTATTCTAGAAGGTGAACTAAGACAGAACTGTCTAACACTACTGTATCCAATGGAATATTTGACATGACACCTCCCTATGACAAAGAAACATTGCTAGTGACATTACCGCTCAGGGAGACAGGCAATATGTTATGGGTACTGTGAAAGTACTTTTGGAACGACAAAGGTAATCTTGTACGTGAGGATTAAAGTTTATTTATTTATTTTCCATTCCTCTAGGTTGAAAGTCTGGTCCTCTGGAGGATTTAGAAACTTAAGATCTGGTTAGCTAGTTTTGGAAATCAGTTTCCTCCTACAATGACCGCTGCATGCAGATGACACTTCACAGAGCTTCTTCAGATTTCGACAGGATTAAGGAAAAGCAGATTGGTATTAGGAGTCAGCTTCCCTTAATACCTTGCTGCCTTCAGCCCGAAATCACCTTCATTCACACCGTGCTGGGACTCACATCTGCTTCATTAGCTTTGCAAGATGTTGTGTTTATATTTCCTTTTTGCTATATGTAAAAAATCTTTCCACTGGCTTAGTTAAACCATGAATTCCAAGGTACTCTCCACCCTGTGGGGTGTTTTCAAGTAATGGTAAAATGCCTAAAGTCCATTCATAAAAAGGACATTTAATAATAGGGATAAACATTATTTTCATAGAAAAAGCAGCACCAATATTTAGCTTGCAATTCAATACCAGTTTTCCCTGCAAGATCTGCTACTTTATACCCATAAAAAAAAAAATGTTGAACATAAATAAGATGGAAATATAAAGTTACAAAGGCATAAGACCAAGAAAAGGAACTGCTAAAGATTTGATTTGAACTTACTTATTCTAACTTCATTACTCTGATTTTCACTGCTAATCATTATAGCCCATAACTCTGGAGAATAATCTTTTATTTGAGCTTTTTGTCCTATCATCTTGAATTTAACCACTGAAACCTGTTGATGTTGAAAACTCTTGTAAATAATCCATAATCGTGTGTGATTTTATCCTTTTTGATACATAGCTGAATTTATAGATAGTCTGCACAATTTTGTATCCTTTTGATAATGAAAAATTACCATGAAGACACGCGGAATAAATTGTTATGTGCAATATTTTATAGACCTATGTATCTGGAGCACGTTTACACTGGCATTTGTTATATTTTTTAATTACTATCCTAAATATTAAGTATGATAGGATAAGCTGACCAAACCCTTACGTTTACAAAGCCCACTGGGAAAAAAAAAAGTGTGTTCCAACTTCAACAATTACGCTGTATTTGAAAGGTCAGCCGAGCTTGCAGACGCTAAATTTTAATTCATGCCGTCACCTAGAGGGAAGCCATTTGGCTGTGGCTGTAGAAAGTTTGTTGGGGAGCAAATGAGAGGCACATGGGGACCACATTTCTGCAGTTTGCATGCCCCTTGGGAGTTAAATCCTGTATGGTAGCAGTTTTGTGAGTGTCAGGAGCTTTAATCTGGCCCCTAGTTTGTGTAGCTGGCTGGAGATGAGGACTGAATTTGCCCCCAGAGTTTGGGGGACCCCTGCCAGCCTCCGTGGGTCTTTGCTGTTGGTCCTCTAAGTAGAAACAGTTTTACAGATAAGTGGTCATTATAGGATATGATGCGAGGGACACCAGGCAGCTTTCTCTGTCCTCACAGAACACCTAATTCTGGTTGTGCTGCCTGACTTATGGGTGATAGAGATCAGCTTCTCCGCATGTTGAATCATGAAAGGTCCCTTGAGCAAATGCACCCTCATGTTTAAGCTAACGTGTGTGAAGGAATTCAGAATGCTTAGGGTCTGGGAATCGAGGTTGCAATAGAGATAGCTCATACGGACTCTCGGAGGAAAGTGGAGATGCCAGGAGGAAGACTGAGACCCAGGAGGTGGTAAAACCTTCCATCCGTGAGGTGCTTCAGAGGTGAACGGTGCCTTCCCAGAGCCTCAGCCAGGAGCAGCCCCCTCCTCAGGGGAAGGGCACCTCCCACCTGCTCCTGTGGGTATTGCAGGGAAGGGGCTGTTATGCACGGGCACACAGGCCTTCTCTGCCCCTTGCAATGTGGAAACAAATATAGGAAGGGAGAATACTGAAGTCAGGTGGACTTTCTAACAGTCAGTCCTTTGGCATCACCTCGGAGAAGACGCTGGGTGTATCTGCTTCTCATTAGAGCATTGCCAGTTGCTCTCATAACTCACAGTGTGCTGTGCTCCTCTGAGGCTCTCTCTGTATTTCTCTTCAAAGAATTCCTTTTGAAAATTCTTGCAGCTGGTTTTTAAGACACCAGGAAAATGGGCGAATTAAGTTTTTATAAACGTGGAAGTTTTTATTCCATAAATAAATAACGTGTACTAGTCACCACTGAAACCCCCTTCTTGGAACTCAACTCTTGTCTTATTTAAATACATGTGTAGATATCTGTGAAGATTTTCATGTACCGATTTGCCTTGTCACCAATAAAATTAAAAAATTAAAGACCGATGGCACCCTTAATGGTTTATTGCACAGGCAATGCGAAGCTTTCCCATAATGAATGTCATCTAAGATTTCTGTCTCTACACCTTGATGCCTTATTATAAAAACATTTCACCTTGAAACAAACTTGAATGAGCAAAGATAAGCTGCTACATTTAGATTGTGGTGGTGGCTGCACAAGTCCAAGGATACCAACAATTACTGAATCGTGCACTTTAACTAGGGGAGTTCTGTGGTGTGTGAATCATAGCTCAATAAAGACATTAAAAAATGTTTGAGCAGCTTCTAATCCCTCCACCCTTATAGAACTGATTTCTTTTTCTCCACGTTGCCATTCAAATTTTGTGCCTACATACATCTTAGCTCCTTTGCGACACCTTTCCTTGTCTCTTCGGCCAACTTCCACGCTATTCCTGTCCTCCAGGAGCATTTTGTGAATGATCACATATTTCCAAATGTTCTCTTGACTACTTCCCAGCTGGACGGCCCCTCGGTGAGAAACCATAGCTCTTTATCTGTTCTGTCTCCTACACCTCACATCAACACCTGGTGTATAGACAGTGATCCAAAAACTGTCATGCAATGACTGGCATCACAACAGGTCCCCAATGCCCTATCCAATTAGTGAGCCATCGTTTGTTTAATCACCCCCTGCTCATCACAATAGCTGTTCACAAGAAGAGCAGTAAATTGAATGCTTTCGGAGTCAGCAGGGTGTAGAGGTTCATTATTAAAAAAATTTGTCAACCACTTTCATACTTGGGACGTCTTTTTGTGTATGTCTGTGAACCACAGTGCGATGACTCAGTTAAAGCATAGGAAGAGTTTCGTGGCTCTTCATAACATATTGCCCTTAAGGGGACTCAATCAATTTGCATTAACCTAAATGTGCCAGTTCCTTCTCAACTCTGTTGAGCATGGTTTAAATAGTGTGGGCCTTATTTTAATAGGTTACCTTAGTTTAATATGTATCTCATTAGAATTCAGTAAACTTCATGTATGCATTTAATTTTGATTTCTAGTATTGATAAGCCACTCGATATAAACCCACGTATTGGTTATAACCCGTAAGATATTTAAATATTCACTGCTTCTGTGATAATGGTGAATCCCTGTGAGAACTTTTGTCTGGGTGTTTGCCCTGCAGTCTATAGAAGCAGCAGGATGACGTCTTCATCTTGTCACTCACACTTCAGGAGCAATCCTACATCCACCCTCAGAGGGAAGAAGAAGAGGAACTCTTGGGAGGTCTGTCATAGCAGTAAAATCCTCGTAGTCGGACGTACCAGGTGGGAGCTTAGTATTCTAAACAAATTCGGTTGATACCTTGCCACTTCCTGCCAGTTCGTTTGCACACACTTAACTCTATACCCCAAAACATTGAGTTAAAATTTGGGTCCCTAGACTGGGCAAAATGTTAGGGGCCTAAACCCTTGTCCCTTGTCCTCCCTTAGAACAAAAGGCCTACCGGCCTGCCCCAAGAGCTCCATAGACTTTAGCCTGCCAAAACCTTCCAGCAACCTGTGGAATCTTCCTCCCCCTACTCCCACAAGCCTCCAACCACTCTTGCTGTAGCCGCCATTTTCAACCAGGCAGATCTCTGTGCCCTTTCTTTAAACTTGGCCTGAACCTCTGCCAGTGTCATCTCTGGGTACACACACCACCGAACCCCTTCACAAAGGAGATAAGGTTCGCTCCATGTGGAATTCCATTATGCTTTGCACACTTCCTCTGTTAAACTTGCACCACCTTCCCAGGTTACCCATATGGAAAAGAGCATTTTTCTGGCACCCTCAAGAAGGGTTAAACACGAAACCTTTGGTGGATGTCCATGAACGCTAACATGGTACCTCCCTAAGGTCTAATGTTCATTTCCTCAAACATCACAGATTTTCTCTTTTGGAACTCGGATCACATTAAAATGTTGATTTCTTTAGCATGAGAAGTTTACAGCACTGAAACTTCAGACTGAGAGCTGAGTAAAATTACAATTCCCTCCTGCGATGCTTGAGTCAGCGGCACCTCCAGTGCACAAGGTACAACTCTATTTCCCATGTTAAAGTCTCCCTAGCCCAACCCCCAGACACCATCTGCGCGACACACTGCCTTTGGAATGGTTTATGAGCAAGCTCTGTTATTCAGGATCACTGGCCCAAACCCACATGGAAGGGCAGCCTGATACCAGG